AAAGATCTTAACCTGTAAGATGAATTGGAGCAAAACTGGTCGGCAAAAAGACATGATTTCCTGTAATATTTCTTAACTGTAAAATCATTGATTCGGATTTAAATACTCAAACTGGCAGATTTGAAACCACCACAATTTTTTTTTAAATCTCTACATCCAGTGTAAGGCTCGAACTCACACCCCAAGATCAAGACTTGCAAGCTGTACCAGCTAAGCCAGCCAGGTGGCCCTGAAACCCCTACCATTTGAAATGAATTTTCACTCCAAGGGAGAGGACAATGGAAAAAGGTAGGCTGGGAACAGATAATATAGCCCCAAGGTCTATTAGGGCTTTTGAAATTTTCCCTCCAATAGTGATGTCAACTTCTAAAGTATCAGGAGGAAGGGAAATGGCCTCATTTCCCTTGGAGCATCCTTACTCTTTATTATCATCATCATCATCATCGTCATCATCATCATCATGTTTGACGTCCCACTTAAATTTGTGATGGTCTCATTTGAAATGTCCAGATTTTTTACAATAATAGACAGTCCTTTTGCTTTTGAGTGGGTTTTTGGAAAGGTAGTTTTTGTGGGACCATTCAGCTGTCTTAATTGTAAATTCATAACTTTAGCTGCTTTTTCCTTTTCTTTTGCAAAGCCTTAGAAAGTTGATCCACAAGGGAAACAAGGGCATTAGTAAGTAATGTTGCCCATCCTAAGTCATACTGCTTTACTAGTAAACCCATTTCTTAATCTAGACCTTCTAGAAAGGTTGAATGTAAGAGTGGATCACTTTGATGATTTTGAAAACTCTCAGGAGTCATTCCAGAGTATTTAAATGTTTTTTCAAAGTTGAAAATAGAGCTACCCTACGACCCAGCAATTGCACTACTGGGTATTTACCCCAAAGATACAAATGTAGTGATCGAAAGGGGCACCTGCACCCCAATGTTTATAGCAGCAATGTCCACAATAGGCAAACTATGGAAAGAGCCCTGATGTCCATTGACAGATGAATGGATAAAGAAGATGTGGTATAGATATACAATGGAATATCATGCAGCCATAAAAAAAAAAATGAAATCTTGCCATTCACAACGGCATGGATGGAACTAGAGGGTATTGTGCTAATCGCTTTAAAATGCATGCCTTTCAAAACTAGATAGGCCTTTCTCTTTTTTTAAATTTTATTTATTTATTTATCAGAGAGAGGGAGAGCGCAAGCAGGGGGAGCAGCAGGCAGAGGAAGAAGCAGGTTCCCTGCGGAGCAAGGAGCCCATGTGGGACTCGATCCCAGGACTCTGGGATCATGACCTGAGCTGAAGGCAGATACTTAACCGACTAAGCCACCCAGGCATCCCTAGATAGGCCTTTCCACCCACTCTTCTCCAGCTTTAGGACCCAGAAATGTATTAAGAACCCAGAAGCCATCCCTTCAAAATGCAAACATCAAGGGAGACTGTTCCCTAGGGACTATTAGTTCCTGATAGTCTCATACCCTGGGAGGGTGGGAGCCTCCTCCTAGTGGACACTTTGCTCCAACTTACAAAACTACTTCATGTTATTAGGATGAGGTTTGTTTTCCTCAATTCCTTTTCCAATAAGCTAACACGGATAGTCACCTCAATTGTCAAGTTAGAACAAACTCTATGTGGCAGATACTGCTGTCAAGTTGTCTTTCTTGGGGACTAGTTATTGTTTGTCATAAAAACATGTATGTAATGAGTTGTGTCTGCTTGACTATATGGGGAAGTGAGGGTTTTTTTTTTTTTAGTCTTTGCAGTTTCATAGTGAATGGCCTGTGATGCATGTCTCATTCTGGTTTAATACGCTTATTCACTAATAGTGTTTTCTGTCTCTACTATTTCTGTGGAGAGGATCTGTGGGTGGGAGAAGGTTCTGTTTTACATCCCCAATAGTCACCATCACACATGTCTACAGTGACAAACCTCATCACCCACCTCATCACTATCTAGTGAGATTATGGGCAAGGGTGATCAGTTGGACAGTGTCCAACTGACTCCATAAGCCATAAGCCACACCTAGAACATTACCAAATTGTAATGAACAAATGCCCCAGCAACACCAACAAATAAATAAGAATTGAGAAAAGTAAGCAGACGTTGCATGCTAAGAGACTTACACAGCTACTGAAAGCTGTGAGGATGTATTTTGGATTCTGATTGCAATTAATCTGACTTAAAAAGAAACACATTTTAGGGGCGCCTGGGTGGCTCAGATGCTTAAGCGTCTGCCTTCCACGCAGGTCATGGTCCCAGGGTCCTGGGATCGAGCCCCATGTCGGGCTCCCAGCTCAGCGGGAAGCCTGCTTCTCCCTCTCCTCCTACTGCTCCCCCTGCTTGTGCTCTCTTGCTCTCTGTCAAATAAATAATATCTTTAAAAAACAAAAAACAAACACATTTTGACACAACTGAACAATGATAAAATATTTGTATTTTGGTAACTATTGGGTTATAAAGGAGACCTTACATTTCAAAAAGAGATTATACATTAAATGATAACAATGTCTGGAAATACATGTAAAGTAGCCCACTTGTGTACACAAGGATTGATAGAACAAGAACAGCCATGAAATGATAAACAATGGTGTTAAACTGGAGAAGGGTTTTATCTGGCTTTGTAACATTTCCTTTTTTGTGTGTATGTAATTATTATTATTTTTTTTTAATGTAAGCTCTGCACCCAACATGCGGCTTGAACTCACAACCCAGACCAAGATCAAGAGTGCTCTGAGTCAGCCAGGTGCCTTTTCATATATTTGAAAGTAGCCATAACAAAAGATAGACTAATGTCACTGTATCAGCAATTTTATATGTGGAGAAGGATGAATTTTAAAAGGCAGGAGGAGGGGCGCCTGGGTGGCTCAGTTGGTTAAGCGACTGCCTTCGGCTCAGGTCATGATCCTGGAGTCCCGGGATCGAGTCCCGCATCGGACTCCCTGCTCAGCGGGGAGTCTGCTTCTCCCTCTGACCCTCTTCCCTCTCGTGCTCTCTATCTCTCATTCTCTCTCTCTCAAATAAATAAAATCTTTAAAAAAAAAATTGGAAAATGTTGCATACAATTAAAAATAAATAAATAAATAAATAAAATCTTTAAAAAAAAAATTGGAAAATGTTGCATACAATTAAAAATAAATAAATAAATAAATAAAATCTTTAAAAAAAAAAGGCAGGAGGAAACGTTTGGTTTCAGGGTGTAAGCATGAATCAAAACATCAAAATGTACATTTTAAGTATGTGCAGTTTAAGTCAATATACCTCCACTGTTTTAAAATCAAATAAAAAAACTTCTGACTTCCTAATCATTATACTGCCTTTTATTATTTTTATGTTCTTGTGTTAATTGCAGCTATTCTATCATATGGTAGAAATAGAATACAACTGTGCTACTGGCACCTCTTCCCAATTCTATTTTCCCAACTGCTCTTTCCACTGACAGTTTTAAAATTGGTCATGCTGGTAGTGTTTACACCAGGAAAACTGAAAAACAAACACTAGAAATTGCAGCTTGATTTATTGTACTGAATATCTATACCTAAGAAAGTGATGGAGAACATATTAGTAATGCAGATAAAACTTAAAAGTATGTGCTATTTGTGGTCACTGAATTGTGTATAGCACAAAGAACATTTTGGAAATATTCTCCTGGTATTCAAAAACAGTTAATGGCTAACAGCAAACAAGTCACACCACTGAAGAATGAATGAAATTTTTAACATAAATGTTTGTTGTTTCACTCTATTTGTTAACAAAAAGAAAAATAGCCAAAATTCGTTTAAAACATAAGAGATGGAGTGCCTGGCTGGCTCAGTTGATGGAACATGTGACTCTTAATCTTGGGGTTCTGAGTTCAAGCCCCATGTTGGGGGTAGAGATTACACAAAACAACAAAACAAAAGCAAAAGATACGAATAGACATTTTACCAAAGAAGACATACAGGTGGCAAATAAAGGGAAAAAAATGCTCAACATGGTGAAATATCAGAGAAATGCAACTAAAACCACAGTGAGATACGGCTACAACACATTTATTTAAAAGGGTTAAAATTTTAAAAGAATATCCATCCCCACTATTGGTTAGGATATGGAAAAGACTTCAACTCATACACTGCTGGTGGGAATACAAAAGGGAACAACCATTTTAGATCACAGTTTGAGGTTTCTTAAAAAGTTACGTATTCATCTACCCTGTGATTCAGGCATTGGAACCCAAGATATTAATACAAGCTAAATAACATGCATATGAAAAACTGCATTAAAACCTGTGTAGCAGTATTATTTTCAATAGCCCAAAACTGGAAACTCAAATGTCCATAAGCAGATTAACAAATGAACACATAATGGTATATCCACAGAACACCGTATTTTTCACCAATATAAAAAGCATGAACTACTCATAGAAACAACATTAATGAATCTCAAAATGAATATGCTGCATGAGGGTACCCACAGGAAAAAGCATAAACACACTATGATTTCAAATAAACTGCTGTAAAGGAAGCTAAATCAATAGCTAACTGGAGAGCAGAAGAAGAGAGATTATAAAAGGGCATGAGGTAAATATGGGGGTGATGAATGGGTTCATTAATATCATAATAAAGGTTTCAGGAGTTTATACAAATAGCAAAGCTCACTAGGTTCCCTTTCCTAGCCCCGGCGCCAGGTGACGGAAGGCTGGCTGTCTCCCTCCTGGGCCTCGGTGCTCAGTGTGGGTGGGCTCTGCCCAGCAGGGACCCCGGTGCACTCACCTCCCTCCTGCAATCTGCTCTTCCTTTGAACTCCCTTGGGGGAGTCTTGAAACCCTAATGGAGATCGTGTCCCTCCTTTGGGCAAAACTCTCCTTGGCGCCTACAGTCCTCACCTGAAGGTACCGCACCGCCGCTCGGCCCTGCGTGACCCCGCCTCACGCTCTCTGTCCCCTGAGGGCAGCCTCCTCCCGCCTCACGCCCCCTCCAGCCTCTGCCCCGCCGGCCCCTCGGCCCGGAGCCCGCTCCTCACGCCAGCACGCCGGCGCTCGCACACGGGGCCCCCGCCCACCGCCGCCTCCCCGTCCGACACCGGGGCCTGGGCCGCAGGGACGCGAGCAGCTCGGGCCTTCGGGGTCTGGGGGCGGGGGGGACGGCGGGCGGGCCCGGGGGACGAGCGCTTACCTGAGGCGGCTCCCTGGGCGCGGCCGCCGCCGTCGGACTCTGGGCGGAGCGGACGCCCGGGCCGGCGATCAAGGTCCCGGCCCCGCCGCGGGACAGGCCGAGCGGCGTCGCCAGCCAAGGCCCGAATCTGTGCGGCGGGGACAGCGTCTCCCCTCGCGCCCTGTCCGTCCCGTCACCTCGGTCCCCACCCAGCGCTCCGAATCCCAGACCAGACTGACAGGACTTCAGGGCGGCCAAAACGATTGACTACTAGAGCGATACCGGAGGTCCCGCCCTGACGTTTTAGGTCTCAGCCGGAAACGCCGATTTTGCTTCTGCTCCTGGTATCCCCAGCGACCAAGGCCAAGGCCCCTCATCGCACAGCTTTCCGGACAATGTAGTTCTCACAGAGCCACAGGCGCGCGTAAGAGCGCTCGCACCTCACCTCCAACCCAAAAGGCCGAACTGCGCCGCGAGGACCTCTGGGAAATGGCGCCTTTAGGTTGCCGTAGGGAGGAAGGACTTAGCTCCTTCTTAAAGAGGCCGTACATAGATTTCTCGGGAGTCTGGGTGCAACTGAGCACCTCTTTGGAGATATGTTATTTTAGAGTCCATGAAGCTCAGCATACTCTCAGAAGCTAAACATATTCTTTCGGATGCTCCCAAAGGCTACAGATCCAAATGCACAAAATTTTCCAGTTAGTCACAAAATGTGTCCACTGGTAGAGGAAACGAATAAAAATTACCGTATAGTAATTCAAATGCATGCGCTCTGAAGAATTAGAGCCAGTTTTAGGAACTGAACTGTGTATGTTCAGAGACAAGAGGGAAAATACTCCAGATAGGGGCATGACAAGAAAGATGGAGGAGGATGTGCTCCCCTGAAACAAGAGTACAGATATGGGTCTGTATAACCTGTGATGTCCAATTTGATGAGCTTTTATCCATTCACATCTTTTTTTTTTTTTTTAGATTTTATTTATTTATTTGACACAGAGAGGGAACACAAGCAGGGGGAGTGGGGGAGGGAGAAGCAGGGCTTCCCGCAGAGCAGGGAGCCTGATGCGGGGCTCCGTCCCAGGACCCTGGGATCATGACCTGAGCTGAAGGCAGACACTTACCCAACTGAGCCACCCAGGTGTCCCCAATTACACCTCAATTTAAAAAGTTTTAAAGACGGTTATTAATTATGACTATGTAGTGATACAGAGATGGTGGCAGAAATGTCTCTGGAGAAGTAACTTGGATGGTGAAAGAAGTGAAGATCTTGGAGAAATTCCAGTAGTGATGATGTTGGTGCACAATGGGTAATTTGGGGATTCTTGAATTGGAAAGTTTTTAGAGCTGATCATTCTGTTTTTCCATTAAAAGATCACGAAAACTTTGAGCCTGTGAAGAACATTAACACATCTAATTGAAAGACTTAAAAAAGACCAGCAAATCCGAGTTAAGATTAAGCATTAAGCATAAGACTCTCCCTGAGAAGAAATAGCTCTTTCATGTAGGAATAGCATTGTCATTGAGTTTATTAAAGGTAAGAAATTTTAGACATGTTGTTCATAGCATCCATGTCGCCTAATATATCGTTTTAAAATGCTATTCAGGGGCACCTGGGTGGCTCAGTCAGTTAAGCATCTCTTAATTTTGGCTCAGGTCATGATCTCAGGGCCCTTGGATAGAGCCCTGCATGGGGGCTCTGTGCTCAGCACTAAGTTGCCTTGTCCCTCTCCCTCTGCTCCTGCCCCCTTCAAATAAATAAATAAATAAATAAATAAATAAATAAATAAAATGTTAGATAATTCCATAACATGTTTTATGTTTAAATATATTTGACTATTTTACACTGCATTTTCAAAATTAAAAAAATAAAAAGTAATTTTCAAACTGTTAACCTTAAAAATAACAACTGCCAGTTATTTTTCCAGCAAAAGATGGTTTTATTTGGGACTAAAAGAGAGAATTGCAATCCAGGACAAATAAGCTGCAACAAAGCCGTAGGCAAGTCCGGAGAACAAAGGATAAATATACTTTTTTTTTTTTTAAGAAGAAAAGAGGTAAGTTGGGAAGGCTGTTATAAATTAAAAGTCCTTTGGAATAAACTGGAAGTTCGAAGTAGAGTAGATTCTAATCCTCTGAGCTGTTGTGGGATGGGGTAGGGATAAGGAAACCTTTCATTCTCAGGCTTGGAGAGTAAAATAGTATCCACTGCAAGGTCAAGTCGGGGTAGAGTCAAATCTCTCTTCCTGTTGGGTCTGCAATTGACTACAAGTGGTAGGGTGTGAGAGCTCCCCCTGCTGAAACTTCACCATTACATTTTAGTGAAGTTTCCTGTTACTAATTTTCACACAATTTAATTTTTTTTAAATCAGTCATCATTAAAGGAAGGACTTTTTATGAAGTGATAGACTTTTCTTACCTGGAAAGTAATATGCTATTGAAATTAGTGGTAATAAAAAGCAAATGATATAAATTTGAGAGGTAAAGAGGATAAGTGCATTCAATTCTTCAAAGTGCCAATGGCTGACAATAAGTTCTGAAAATGAATTTCATTTTATGGAGGATAATTTACAAAAGCTGCCTACTAAATACTGTGTTGCATTACTTTTTAAACTAATTTTTTTTTAAGATTTTATTTATTTATTTGACAGAGACACAGAGCGAGAGAGAGAACACAAGCAGGGGGAGTGGGAGAGGGAGAAGCAGGCTTCCCGCTGAGCAGGGAGCCCGATGCGGGGCTCGATCCCAGGACCCTGGGATCATGACCTGAGCTGAAGGCAGACGCTTAGCGACTGAGCCACCCACTAATTTGTTATTTATTTGACAGAGAGACAGACAGAGAGAGAGAACACACAGGGGGAGCAGCAGGGAACCTGATGCGGGGATTAATCCCACAACCCTGGGATCATGACCCGAGCCAAAGGCAGACACCCAACAGACTGAGCCATGCAGGCGCCCCTGTATTGCATTACTTTTAAGCACTAATTAAAACAAAAAACCTTTCCATTAAAACTAATATCAAAAGCACTAAGGTGTAAACTAACGAAATAAACTTATTTCAGTTGAATACTTAGCACTTTTATCATAAGCAATGGCATGATTACAATATGCTGTATGATCAGGGGAAAGTGGTAAGAAAAGAAGCAGGAAAAAGGGCAATGGTTCTGGCAAGTATGGAAGGTGCCTAAACAAACAAAACTATCAGGATTTTTTGAAGGAAAGATGATGGGTTTGTGGGGGTTTAATCAAGTCAAATAAATACACCAGAGTCAGACTATCATGTCAATAACAAAATAAAAAAAACTAAAATAACTCATTTCTCAACATAAAGCTGATGCTAGATTATAGCCACGTAAAGAAAAGAGGACTAAAATAAATTAAATATATTGGTAAATTTCTTAATTTTGTTTCCTAAATAAAGCCTCTCTAGATGAAAATCTTGGAGGGAATACTCAAGTAAAAATAAAAATCAAGCCAGTAGAATTTTGCAATAAACAAGGAATACAAAAGTCACAAAATATCAATTTCATTGTTATCTAAAACAGAAAAAGTAAATTTCGGGGCAGCTGGGTGGCTTAGTCAGTTAAGTGTCGGCCTTCGGCTTGGGTCGTGATCCCAGGGTCATGGGATGGAGCCCCAAGTTGGGCTTCTTGCACAATGGGGAGGTTGCTTTTCCCTCTGCCTGCCACTCCCCCTGCTTGTGCTTGTGCTCTCTCTGTCAAAAAAATAAATAAAATCTTAAAAAAAAAAAAAAAAGAAAAAGAAAATTTCAAACACTGACTGAAGAATCCATCCTGGACATATCAATTAGTAATTTGGTGTCATTAGTTCTGTTGCAACACAAAATGACTATGAATTGTGCTAAACAGCTTGATTTTAGTGAGGGGGTAGAAAAAATCATCATAATTATAATCAACCATGTTTAGGAATTTGAGAAATATTTTCTTAAAGATTTTATTTTTTTCAAAAATTAAGAATTTTATTTCATGCAGCTAAGACAAACGTAAAACAAAAGTGGTGCCTACATAAAACCAAACAGATAGACAATTCATCTATATAATTCTAGAAATTACAAAAAATATGGAATACTTCATGAATTTGTGTGTCATCCTTGTGCAGGGACCATCTTAATCTAACCTGTATCATTCCAATTTTAGTATAGGTGCTGCTGAAGCGAGCACTAACGATTTTTTTTTTTTTTTAGAGATTTCATTTATTTGAGAGAAAGCACGTGCGTGAGAGAGAGCATGAGCAGGGGTAGGGGCAAAGGGAGAAGGAAAAGCGGACTGCCCACTGAGCAGGGAGCTCAACATGGGGCAGGATCCCAGGACTCTGGGATCATGACCTAAGCCGAAAGGCAGATGCTTAACTGACTGAGCCACCCAGGCGCCCCTAAAGATTTTTTTTAAAGTAATCTCTACACACAGCATGGGGCTCAAACTTACAACCCTGAGATCAAGAGTCACATGCTGGGGCGCCTGGGTGGCTCAGTTGGTTAAGCGTCTGCCTCCGGCTCAGGTCATGATCCCGGGGTCCTGGGATCGAGCCCCGCATTGGGCTCCCTGCTCTGCGGGAAGCCTGCTTCTTCCCCTACCTACCGCTCCCCCTGCTTGTGTTCCCTCTCTCTCTGTGTCTCTCTCTGTCAAAAAATAAATAAAATCTTAAAAAAAAAAAAAAAGAGTCACATGCTCTGCCGACCAAGCCAGGCAGGCGGCCCTCGAGAAAATATCTTTAAAAATCATATGGGGGGCACCTGGGTGGCTCAGTCTGTTGAGTGTCTGACTCTTGGTTTCGGCTGGGGTTGTGATCTCCGGGTCACGGGATTGGGCCTCCCTGTTGGGCTCTGCTTCTGTGCTCAGCTCAGTGAGATTCTCTCTCTCCTTCTCCCTCTGCCCCTCCCCCCATGCTCGCTTGCTCACGCACTCTCTCTCTCTCTCCCTAAAATAGGTAAGTATATAAAATCTTTTAAAAGATCATATGGCAAATGATCATATACAAAGATAATCTAAATAAGTCTGCAGTAATTTCTCTGAAAGAGCAGTAAAAAGCACTGTGATATTCATACAGGGGCATAGAATTTAGGTAAAAAATGTAACAGAATATAGAGCTCATTTAAAGGGTCATGTGTATATTTGATCCTCAATTATGGGGGAAGTGGTACGAGATAGCAATAGGAATGTAAGCTTTTAAATATATTCTGAAGCAATGAAGTATACAAATGGTAAAATATGGGGTGCGTGGGCAGCTCAGTTGGTTGAGTGCCTGTCTTCGGCTCAGGTCATGATCCTGGAGTCCTGGGATCAGGCCCTGCATCGGGCTCCCTGCTCAGCGGGGAGTCTGCTTCTCCCTCTGCCCTTCACCCTGCTGGTGCTCTCTCACCCCGCTTGTGCTCTCTGGCTCTTGCTCTCTCTCAAATAAATAGATAAAATCTTAAAAAAAATTTTTTAATGGTAAAATATGAATTTAGACCTCTTCTTCAAAGTATACAGAAATATTAGTTGCAGGTGGAGAGAGCTTACTTGGAATGACAGGAACGACTGTTTTACAAGTTGATTGAAGAGAATGCATGTACAATGTATATAGAGGATTTCTCAAAACAGACACAAAAATATGACAGTAAGTATGTATTTAAATATAACCAACTACAAAAAATATAACCAATTACATTAAAGGGAAAGAGTCTATGATTACAAAATACCACAAAAACAGAAATGATGAGCCACACATTTTAGAAGATATGTGAATCACTCATAATTGTTAAAAAGCAGCTATATAAATAATTAAATCATTTAATAAATAAGTCCTACAAATTAGTGAGATAGAAATCATCTCACTCAAAAGTGAAAACCTTTTGTATAGATGACAAGAATTCCAAAAAGCCAACCATGCCAATAAGAAAGACAATTTTGAAAGTTTAATCTTAAACCAGAGTGACATCAATAAATGGCAGAGTTGGAATCTACAGGCCCTTACTATCCTTAAAAACACTGAATAAACAAAACATGCTGATCAAAATAGCTTTACGAGTACTTACGCATCAGTTAGAGGTCTACAGAAGCCCAGGAAGGACGGAAAACAGTGGGGCTTGATTGCAGTGTTCTTGCTTGTCTGAAAGCTGACCCAGGGTCCAGTTTCTGCATCGCCTGCCTCGGTGATGATGGGAATGGTGGCAATAGTTTGGAAATCAGGTTGGAGGCAGTAAGGACACTGGCAGATTACAAACCTTGGGATAGCTGTGGGAAGACAGCAGTCTGGTAGGTGGCTGGGGACAGTTTAGGCAGAGGAATACACCAGAAGAATTGGGTGTGAGACCATTAGGAAAATTAAGACATGTGTACTGCAGAATTGGGGAACACACACACACAGACACACACCAGGGGAGATGCATGATGCCCGGAAAAGATATGAGAAGGCCTCAAGCTTTCATGCTAGGTTGATTAGTGGAAGTCTTTCCCTGCATGGAGCCAGTCCCTAAAGACTCAGAGAGGTGGCTCTCCAGTTGGCTAAGTCAGAGTCTTATATAATGTAACCATTAAAAGAGCAACTATTCTATCTCCTCAACCTAATCATGGGAGGGCCATACGTGACATTTCCATATTCGCAGAGCCACACTCAAGGGGAAGAAATGATACAGCTATGTACACCAGGGGCAAGAATCTTGGGGGCCATCTTAGAATTCCACCTACCACAGTGGTTTCTGCTAAGAGACATCTGCCCATGAAGACTCATGTTCTTCCCTCCCTTGGTTTATTCAAGGTGATAAAAAGCAGTCCAGCCTCTCCATGCTGGTGTCTATATATGATATGTAGTGAGCTGCCCGCAAAACCAACACTGGAATATGTACCAGGCTGGGGGCCAATGACCAGAGAGCCTAGCCATAAACCTTGATGGATTCCAGAGGCACAGAGGTACACTGAACCCTGGCTTCCCCACTTTCTGGGCCCTCACCTGATTTGGAACGCTGGGATATAATTGCTCTGAGAGTTATCAATGATGGAATGGATTTCCACCCTGCTTCCTCTAGTACCAGCTAGCTCCCAGTAAAGTTTTACGTAGCTGGGATGGGGGGGAGGTGCCTGGGTGGCGTTTAAGCGTCTGCCTTCAGCTCAGGTCATGATCTCAGGGTTGCGGGATCGAGCCCCGCATTGGGCTCCCTGCTTGGTGGGAAGTCTGCTTCTCCCTCTAGCCCTTCCCTGCTCATGCCTGCATACGCATTCTCTCTCTCTGAAATAAATAAGGTCTTAAAAAAAAATAAAAGTAATTGCTATAGACTGTTTGTGACTCCCCCATCCCCCGCGTTGAAGCCCTAATCCCCAAGGTGATGTCATTTGGAGGTGAGGCCTTGGGGAGGTAATCAGGCCATGAGGGTGGAGCCCTCATGAATGGGATCAGTGCCCTTATAATCAGAAACAAGAGAGTTTGCTGCTTCTCTCCCTCTCTCCACCATGTGAGGAAATCAGGAATAGGGCTTGCCCGAGAACTCAACCATGCTAGCATCTTGATCTTGGACTTCTAGCCTCTAGGACAGTGAGAAATAGATATTTGTTGTTTAAGCCACCTCATCAACAGCATTTTTTTTAGGGCAGCCTGAGCCGACTAAGATAGCAGTCTTGCTTCCTAACTTAGGATTTTATCTCATAGGGGCTGGGTGTGTGTCTTGCCCAAGGATATGAGGTTGCACTGAAGGGCACTGAAGGCCCATGCAGGGTCTGGGGGCTGTGGATCGGTGCAGGACACCGGCCAGCACTGCCCTGCTGTCCCCTGGGCCACCCATCCCACACGTAACTCCTTCCTGGCTGCACCACCAAGGCAGGTACAATTTCTCATATATATCCCACTATTCCTTTGTCACGTTGTCTATTATAATTGTTGTTGTTGTTGTTATAATTTTTTTATTTTAGGAAGGATGGAAACTTGAAGGAAGAGTCAGGAAGCCTAGGTCTGGCTTCAGTTCACCCTCAAATTAGACAAAATCTTTTTTTTAACAGTTTGTTTGGGATCTCTTTCACATACCACAACATTTGCTCTTTTAAAAAGTACAATCCCGTGGTGTTTTTTTTTCTTTTTCATTTTTTAGTATAGTCACCAGGTTGTATAACCATCACAACTACCTAGTTTTTAAACATTTTCCTTACCCCAAAAAGAAACCCCACACCCATCAGCAGTCCTTCCCTTTTCTCTTCTCACCCAGTTCCTGGAAACACTTAACTACTTTCTGCCTCTATGGATTTGATTATTTTGGGCATTTTGGATAAATGAAATCAGAAAACGTGTGACCTTTGTGTCTAACATATTTCATTTAGCATAACGTTTTCAAGGTTTCTCTATGTTGTAGATGTATCGGTATTTCTTTCTTATGGCTGAAGAATATTCCATTGTATAGATAGACCCCCATTTTATTTATCTTTTTGTCAGTTGTTGGACAGCTGGGTTGTTTCCACCTTTTTGCTCTTATGAGTAATGCTGCTGTGGACATTTGTGTCCAGGTTTTTCTGTGTATGTGTGTTTTCAGTTTCCTCGGACCTAACCCGAAGAGTGGAATTGCTAGGCCATGTAGTGACTGTCTGTTTAACTTTCCGAGGAACCGTCAGACCGTTTTCCAAAGCACTGACCCATTTGGATCCAGTCTTGACTCCTATATTTCCACAGCTCTCAGCAGCTCCCGGCTTATAGCACCCCACAACTGGCCATGCTTTATAGCTCCTTGCCTGCAGACCCTTTTTCCTCACCAGGTCCCAGCTCCTTAAAAACAGGGATGATTGCATCTTAATCCAGTGTCATATCTATTTTGATATTCTCAGCTTCCTTGTGAGGAAAATAGAGGCAAGGTACTGGAATTGATAGATAATATCCCTGGAAAAGTTTTGTATGATGAAAGCAATTCCTTAGCTTGGTCTGAGAGACTGACCAAAGAAATCATTTGTGCTTTTGGTTAGGACCAAGGAAGGAAAATCCTAAAAAACATAAATAAATAAAAAATTTAGAAAAAAATCCTGACAGTCTCTTTTCGTATTCATGAAGTTAGATTTTTCTCTTTTCCAATTAAGTTATAATTATTAATGGACTATGAGAGCTAAGAATCAAGAATCATTGCACATATGGATTTATTTTCTGTTATATACTTCTAGTTTTCTTCTTTAGAGTGCTCTGAACAGAGCTCTCCAGGAGTAAGTCATGCTCAGGTCCCCAGTCGTGGGTTGTCCTTGCAACTGTTGGCTCCACACTGGTTAGCACGTCCTGCATCTCTTCCGTTTGCTCTCATAGATCCTCTGAGAATATACTGTGCATAGAATTCCCTATTTTTGTTTCCATTAATAAATCTTGTTCTTTCTTCAATCTCTTGTTTACCATATACTTTCTTCTTTTGGATCTAATAACTAAAACACAGACATAATGTTACTGAAATACTAATAAATGAGGAATAGAGATAAAAGAGGTGATGGAAAAGGTATGGAAAAATAAAGGTGTAAAAAGTAGAATTTTCAAGATATAATGAATGTTATTTGTCTGAAAAGGAAGGTGAAGATTGAATTTTAAAGTTATTTACTCCCCCCCAAAATAAAGTTATTTTCCCACATCTTATATACAAGCTTTATAAATGCTCAGTTAAAAAAAAATGTCAGCTGATGAATGGATAAAGAAGATGTGGTATATATACATAATAGAATATTACTCAGCCATAAAAAAGAATGAAATCTTGCTATTTGCAATGACATGGATGGAGCTAGAGAATATTATGCTAAGTGAATTAAGTCAGTCAAAGACAAATACCATATGATTCACTCATATGTGTAATTTAAGAAGCAAATGAGCAAAGGGGGAAAAAAGAGGGTGGCAATCCAAGAAACAGACCCTTAACCATAGAGAACAAACTGATGGCTACCAGAAGGGAGGTGGGTGGGAGGATGGGGAGAAACGGGTGATGGGTATTAAGGAGTGCACTTGTTGTGATGAGCACTGGGTGTCATATGGAAGTGCTGAATCACTGTAGCGTACATTTGAAACTAATACTACACTGTATGTTAACTAACTGGAATCTAAATAAAAACTTAAAAGAATGAAGAAAAGCTATACTTCAAAGTAAGGAAAAGACATTGAAAAAAATATTTCCCAAGGGTAAACAAGGGCATTAATGTCAGTAAACATCACTGATCACCTACTCCTGGCCTTCCAGCCTGTGTCTGACTACCTGCGTCTGGGGTTGTTAGAGAGGAGGTCCATACACGGGAAGACTGACATGGTTGAATCAGACACTGCACTCTACATATTTTTGCTTTTGAATTTTTTTAAGCGGGTATCTCAGAACTTTTACAAAATCAGGTTTATATGAGCACATATGCTGCCTTCTCTTCACAAAGATTTGCAGGCATGGTGAGCATCTCTTATACAAGGGTCTGTTCTGTGGGCTGGATCCTGTTCACATCAGACAGAGGTAGACTGTGCAAGAGAGACATCTGTCTGTCTGTGTTCTAGACTCGGGAATAATGCTACACTGATGAGTGTGTTTAAAGGAAGAGTTTAGTCTGGGGAAAGTTTTGTCTCCTGAACTCTGCTTTTGGTCCTTGGAATTGCCCCACAAAAGGAACCAAGCAACCCGTGGCTGTTTGCCCCTCTGTATAATTTGATGAGAACAGTTCATTTCTGTAGATGTGGCTGTAAATATTCACCTTTATTACCTCAAACTCCATTAAATCCCTCCTAGCTTTGCCTTTGGAAACCAAACCGTCATGGCCAGCTCAGCTTTCATGTGACTTCGCATCTGACGAGATAAACTGGCCATTTACCTGAGTGAATGAACTTTTCCAGCTCCTCCTCATTCTCTGGAAGTAGGAAGGTGGACTCATCCAGGCTCCCATCCTCCGAGGCCTCTTTGTTGTCGTTGACACCATCGTCACCATCTGCCAGGAATGGTATCCTGACGTTGTTATAAAGCCTCACCAGCTGCTGTCTTTCCTCAGCCTGGACCAGCCGACTGGAGAATAACGTAGATGAATTTAAGAGCACAGTTTTCAAGGGAGATCATTACATCTTCATCCTGTGACTTTTGACTGAAAAGGAGTCACTAGTACATGGTGGTAGGCAGGGGAGGGAGGCAGAAACAGATTGATCTCTAGTGTGTGCTGACAGGCGGAGGGGGAGTCAGTGCCAAATGTGGTTCAGGGCCAGGACTAGGTGAGACGAATAAGGAACTCCTGTGGGGTACAAGATAATATAATATCTTCTTTTTAAGCTATAATATCTTTTTTTTTTTAAGATTTTATTTATTTAGGGGCGCCTGGGTGGCTCAGTCGGTTGGGCGGCTGCCTTCGGCTTGGGTCAGGATCCCAGGAGGGTCCTGGGATCAAGTCCCACATCCGGCTCCCTGCTCGGCGGAGAGCCTGCTTCTCCCTCTCCCTCTGCCTGCCGCTCTGCCTACTTGTGCTCTCTATCTATCTGTCAAATAAATAAATAAATGTTTAAAAAAAAGATTTTATTTATTTATTTGTCAGAGAGAGACGCAGTGAGAGAGGGAACACAAGCAGGGGGAGTGGGAGAGGGAGAAGCAGGCTTCCCGCGGAGCAGGGAGCCCCATGTGGGGCTCGATCCCAGGACGCTGGGATCATGACCTGAGCCGAAGGCAGATGGCTAACGACTGAGCCACCCAGGCGCCCCTAAGCTAAATAATATCTTAATGCAACATTTTACAAAAGAAAAATGAATGCCAAGAAATCCATGATGAACAAAATATCAACATTTTAAATGAAGTCCATATAGGTATTACTGATTCTTCCTTTTGCTCCACTCTCTGATATGGCTTGGCCCAACAATGTTACTGATCCTGGATTTAAAATGTTGGTGTTTTGTTCATCATGGATATTTTTTGAAATAAATTTAGATTTTATAAAATATTGCGTTAAAATATTACTCATCTTGATGACTGAATTTTTTGGCACCCTCTTAAATTTTGCACCTGAGGTGAGTGCCTTGCTCACCCCACCCCAGATCCAGCCCTGGAAGTGGATTTTTAAGCAGCTATTTCTGTTTGATGTGAAAATGGGTAAATAGAATGCTTTCCTTTTTCCTAACATATATACCTTCCTAATTGTTTGATGTATGTAATTAGGAAGAACTGGCCTGATCCTAAACACTGTTAACAGTAATGACCCAGGGCGCCTGGGTGGCTCAGTCGTTATGTCTGCCTTCGGCTCAGGTCATGATCCCAGGGTCCTGGGATCAAGCCCCACATTGGGCTCCTTGCTCAGTGGGAAGCCTGCTTCTCCCTCTCCCACTCCCCCTGCTTGTGTTCCCTCTTTCTATCTGTCTGTCAAATAAATAAATAAAATCCTAAAAAAAAAAAAAGTAATCACCCAAATCCTGGTCTCCAATGTCTTGATTACAGTTGCAAAATTTAAGGGCTTGCCAAAAAAATTCAGTAATGATGATAAATGTTTTAGCTCAGTATTTTAACAAATTGAAATGAATGGGGAAAAAATCCATGATAAACCAAATATCAAAATTTCCAACAGTGCTGTGATGAACCATATGGGAACCTGAGCCAAAAGAAAAAGGTGAGTCCCTATATACATGTTTTTAAGTATTTTTTTTAAAGATTTATTTATTTAGGGGCGCCTGGGTGGCTCAGTTGGTTAAGTGTCTGCCTTCAGCTCAGGTCATGATCTCATGGGTCCTGGGAATTGACCCCCTGTCGGGCTCCCTGCTCAGTGGGGAGTCTGCTTCTTCCTCTCCTTCTGCCCACCTCCACCTGCTTGTGCTCTCTCTTGTTATCTCTCAGATAAATAAATCTTTAAAAAAATTTTTTAGGATTTATTTATTTATTTCAGAGAAGGGGTGGAGTGGAGAGGGGCAGAGGAAGACGGAGGCAGAGCCCCAAGCAGACTCCGTGCTGAGTGTGGAGCTCCAGGCAGGGCTTGATCCCACTACCCCAAGATTATGACCCAACCAAAACCAAGAGTCAAAGGCCCAACCAAATGTGCCATTCAGACGCCCCATGTTTTTATGTATTTTTAAGTGGTTATTCTTTTCCAGAACATTAAAGAAGTTGATAATGTATTACCAATTTGAAAAGTAGTATATCAAAACTCACCTTAAATTTAAATATTTTCTATACCAGAAACAGAGCTTATTGTAATTTTACTTTCCCGGTTTAAATGAAAGCAAACTTACAAATAGTATTTTCAAAATCTACTTCTGGAATAAGTTAACCACTAAAAATTACATTAAAATATGTAGTTTGGGGCATGTAATTTTCCTTTTGCCTCATGCTCTGAAATAGCTTGGTGTGGCCCTATGAGTAACACAAATGTAAAAGCTCTAAGAGTTGATATTAGTTCAGCAACTTAATTGGGCACTACAAGTCCCAGAGGATGTTTTAGTGAATTATCTTAGAAAACTCTCTCTTTATATATATATATATATACATACATCTTTATCTATACTAATGAAAATAAACTGAAATTGCAGTTATATAAATTGAGTGCAAGACCACCTTGTTAGATATTGCAGAACTAAACATGCTGATTACACTCTCTCATTAGTAAAATGTCTTCAATTTTTACCTTTAATCTTATTTGCCTTCATTGGACATATTTGAAGGTGGTCCTAAAATGGCTACCTTAAAAAATATCCCATACATGGCAACATAGTCCTTGTGTTCATACTCAATTCCAATAGAGCAAATAATTTATTACTTCCTCAAGCTGTTTCTGATGGGATACAACAGAATCCCAGCACTGAATCCTGGAGAAGGAATCAGTATATCATTCTGGTCAGAGTAGCATGATGTCACAGTCTGCTCTTTTGTCTAATACTCAATCAAAATGATCATATCACTTGAAAGAGCTTGGCCACAAACTTTATTTGTGCAAACAAGATGAAGTATCTTCTCCAAATGCTACTGTTTTCCCAGATAATAACAAGTGTCTAGTGAAAAGAGAGCAGTCACAATTTTCTGCTTTGCACTAAGATTCCTGCCAAAGTATCAAGTTCACTTTTTAAAAAAAATTAAATTCAATTAACATATAATGTATTATTTGTTTCAGGTGTACAGGTCTGTGATTCATCAGTCTTATATAATACCCAGGGCTCATTGCAACACATACTCTCCCCAGTGTCCCTCACCCAGTTACCCCATCCCCTCACCCCCCTCCCCTCCAGCAATCCTCAGTTTGTTTCCTATGATTAAGAGTCTCTTATGGTTTGTCTCCCTCTCTGGTTTCATCTTGTTTCATTTTTTACTCTCTTCCCGTATGATCCTCTGCCTTGTTTCTTAAATTCCACACATCAGTGAGATCATATGATAATTGTCTTTCTCTGATTGACTTATCTCTCTTAGCATAATACCCTCTAGTTCCATCCACATCCCCGTTGTGAATGACAAGATTTCCTTTTTTGATGGCTGCATGATATTCCATTGTGTATATATATTACATCTTCTTTATCCATTCATCTGTCGATGGTCATCTAGGCTCTTTCCCATAGCTTGGCTATTGTGGACATTGCTGCTATAAACATTGGGGTGCATGTGCCCCTCCAGATCACTACATTTGTATCTTTGGGGTAAATATCCAGTAGTGCAGTTGCTGGGTCATAGGGTAGCTCTATTTTCAACTTTTTGAGGAACCTCCATACTGTTTCCCAGAGTGGCCACACCAGCTTGCGTTCCCACCAACAGTGTGGGAGGGTTCCCCTTTCTCCAAATCCTCGCCAACATCTGTCGTTTCCTGACATGTCACTTTTAGCCATTCCGACTGGTGTGAGGTGGTATCTCATTGTAGTTTTGATTTGTATTTCCCTGATGCTGAGTGATGTTGAGCATGTTTTCACGTGTCTGTTGGCCATCAGTATGTCTTTGGAGAAATGTCTGTTCGTATCTTCTGCCCATTTCTTGATTGGATTATTTGTTCTTTGGGTGTTGAGTTTGATAAGTTCTTTATAGATTTTGGATACTAGCCCTTTCTCTGATATGTCATTTGTAAATACCTTCTCCCATTCAGTCGGTTGTCTTTTGATTTTGTTGACTGTTTCCTTTGCTGTGCAAGAGCTTTTTATCTTGATGAAGTCCCAATAGTTCATTTTTGCCTTTGTTTCCCATGCTTTTGGAGACATGTCTTGCAAGAAGTTGCTGCAGCCAAGGTCGAAGAGGTTGCTGTTTGTGTTCTCCTTAAGGATTTTGATGGATTCCTGTCTCACATTTAGATCTTCCATCCATTTTGAGTCTATTTTTGTGTGTGGTGTAAAGAAATGGTCCAGTTTCATTCTTCTGCATGTGGCTGTCCAGTTTTCCCAACACCATTTATTGAAGAGACTGTCTTTTTTCCATTGGATATTTTTTCCTGCTTTGTCGAATATTAGTTGACCATAGAGTTGAGGGTCTATTTCTGGGTTTTCTATTCTGTTCCATTGATCTATGTGTCTGTTTTTGTGCCAGTACCATGCTGTCTTGATGATGACAGATTTGTAATAGAGCTTGAAGTCTGGAATTGTGATGCCACCAGCTTTGGTTTTCTTTTTCAACATTACTCTGGCTATTTGGGGTCTCTGCTAGTTCCATACAAATTTTAGGATTATTTGTTCCAGTTCTGTGAAAAAAGTTAATGGTATTTTGATAGGGATTGCATTGAATGTGTAGATTGCTCTAAATAGGATAGACATTTTAACAATATTTGTTCTTCCAATCCATGAGCATGGGACGTTTTTCCATTTCTCTATGTCTTCCTCAATTTCTTCCATGAGTGTTCTATAGTTTCCTGAGTACAGATCCCTTGCTTCTTTGGTTAGGTTTCTTCCTAGGTATCTTATGGTTTGGGGTGCAACTGTAAATGGGATTGAATCCTTAATTTCTCTTTCTTCTGTCTCACTGTTGGTGTATAGAAATGCAACTGATTTTTGCACATTGATTTTATATCCTGCCACTTTACTGAATTCCTGTATGAGTTCTAGCAATTTTGGGGTGGAGTCTTTTGGGTTTTCCAGATAGAGTATCATGTCATCTGCAAAGAGTGAGAGTTTGACTTCTTCTTTGCTTATTCAGATGCCTCAAGTTCACTTTAGAACACCACATTTCGGGAGGATGCCAGCATCTCAGACAGTGGCTTTCAAGCATTTTGACCATGATCCACAATAGGAAATACATTTTACCTCATAACTGTGTATTTGTTTTCTGAAAAGTTAAAAATCAGCACTTACACTACGGAGGTTCCTCAAAAAGTTGAAAATAGAGCTACCCTATGACCCAGCAATTGCACTACTGGGTATTTGCCCCAAAGATACAGATGTAGTGAAGAGAAGGGGCACATGCCCCCCAATGTTCATAGCAGCAATGTCCACAATAGCCAAACTGTGGAAGGAGCTGAGATGCCCTTCAACAGACGAATGGATAAAGAAGATGTGGTCCATATATACAATGGAATATTACTCAGCCATCAGAAAGGATGAATACTCACCATGTCCAACAACATGGATGGAACTGGAGGGGATTATGCTAAGTGAAATCAGTCAAGCAAAGAAAGACAATTATCATATAGTTTCACTCATGTGTGGAATATAAGGAATAGCACAGAGGACATTAGGGGAAGGAAGGGAAAACTGAAGGGGGGGAAATCAGAGGGGGAGACGATCCACGAGAGACTATGGACTCTGGGAAACAACCTGAGGGTCTCAGAGGAGAGGGGGGTGGGGGATGTGGTAGCCTGGTGATGGGTATTAAGGAGGGCACGTGTTGTAATGAGCACTGGGTGTTATATGCAAATAATGAATCATGGACACTACATCAAAAACTAATGACATACTGTATGGTGACTAACATAACATAATAAATAAATAAATTAAAAATTTTAAAAATTTAAAAAATCAGCATTTACATTACAAAATGTAATGCTTTTTCATATTTTTTATCCTACTAAATTGTATTCTGTCCTATTTCTTTTTTTTTTTTCATTTATATTGTGACCCACCATGAGTACAGTTCATATTCTGAAAAACACTAGTGTGGAGATTTAGTATGACTATAATAATTTAGTGATTATAAGAATTATCATCATCATCATTAACATTACTAAATAATAACCTAGTTAGTTTGTTATGTCTTAGTTGAGGATGGTAAATGTTACTTAGTATATACTTACTATATCACATAGGAAATAGCGATTCCACACATCAGGGCAATGGTAAAGGCTACACACGCAATTATAATTACTTGAACAAGAGCAGGTCTGTGCGAAATCAGTGCTAAAAATGGAAAGAAAAGTTCTCATAAAATTTCATTTCACTTGTGTCCATCAGTTAATACATTTTTAATCATACTGTTATTTCAAAGGCGGATGGGAGACAAAATCAGAAGTACCATAAAAAATAGTATCCTTAATTTTTAAAACTACGGAGGCTAGATCGCACAGCCTGTGTGAACAAATATACTTTGAACTCCCACGTGAAGTAACCCCTAACTCCATTTGCTCCCTCTGCCTCTTGTCCTTTGTCAAAGTCCTCTTTTGCTCTGTAGAAATACAGGATCCCTGACTCAGTCTAGCAGCACCTGCCATCTCTGTGGCTAAAAGGAAAGTGGCTTTAGTTTGATGACTCAGGTGTTGCACCGATGGTTTCAGGGTGTGCGGGGATGTGCCAAAAGGATGTTACAGAGAAATTGAGAATGCCATTCTACGAACCTGCATTCCAGGTGTCGGTGTTCGTGGGTGTTGAGTGTGCTATAAAACTCTGGTTGTTCTTTATACGGTTATGTGTATCACCTTTCCTACTACCTGAAATTTAAAAAATTATAACCAGAGAGTTATTGTTCATACAAATCGAACAAAAGAGCAACTGGCAAAGCAAGTACATTATTCAGCCACTTGTAAAATCTGACAAATTGAGGTGATTACTCCTCATCCTGCACTTGGCCTTCCCTCACTCTCTGTCCCTTCCCTGATGCAGAAAGATTTCAGCAACTGAACTAAAAATGCCCTGAGGTTCATCCATCAATGAAAGCTCAGCCAAACGTGATGAAAAGAACTTGGACTACAAAAAGGCTAGCGGTGTAAAATACTTAATTGTAGACAGCAGGCATGGTGAATATGGGTGTTCACTCTACGATTTTCTCTGCCCTTCTGTATGCTTTCAGGTTTTCCCAATGAAATACTGGGGCAGGGAGGAAAAATTGGTTTACAGATGGTTTCAATATAGTGAGTACTAAAAACTGGCTGCTGGATTTGGCCACAGGAAGGTCATTGGAGAAATCGATGAAGGCAGGGCTACTGATGTGGTGGGGATGCCAGTGACTGACATAGTTTGAGAGAGAACAGGAGGGAAGGAATTGGAGATAGTGAGTTTCAGAAACTCTTTTGAGGAACCTTGGTGTTGGAAGGGAGAGAAGTGAGGGCAGCTTACAGAAGGGATAAGGGATCAAGAGATGGGTTTTGCTTTCTAAGATGGGAGAACTGGCAGCACATTCACAGGAGAATGGGAGTGATACTTTAAATTGTGATACTACAGGAAATGAGGAGAGAATTGCCAACTGTGCCTACGCCAGTTGGTGGAGATGGATGCTGGCGCACTGGCTGGGGCCATCCTTCGCCTGGAAAGGAAGGAAGAAAGAGAAGGAAGGTGCAGTTGCAGGTAGATGGGGAGGCAGATGCAGATACTCTCTTTTGACTGCTTGTATTTTGCCAGTGATGGAGGAAACAAGGTCATCCCCTGAGGGTGAGTTGGGGGTTTTGCACAGCAAGAAAAATAGATGTGAAAGTCACCAAGCAGAACAGGAGAGTAGGTGGGTTAGGGAAATGAGAAACATATATTTTTTTAAAGATTTATTTATTTATTTTAGAAAAAGAAAGAGAGAGCGTGAGGGGGAGGGGCAGAGGGAGAGAGAGAATCTCCAGCAGATTCCTTGCTGAGTGCAGAGCCCAAAGCAGGGCTCAGATCTCAAGACCTTGCGATCACAACCTGAGCCAAACCGAGAGTTGGATGCTTATCCCACTGCACCACCCAGGTGCCCCGAGAAACATATTTTTTAAAAATATCTTATTTATTTATTTGACAGAGAGCGAGCACAAGCAGGGAGAGCAACAGGTAGAGGGAAAGGGAGAAGCAGCCACCCCCCCTGCAGAGCAGGGAGCCCGAGGTGGGACTCAATCCCAGGACTCTGGGATCATGACCTGAGCTGAACGTGGATGCTTAACCAACTGAGCCACCCAGGCACTCCTCTGAGAAACATATTTTTTTAATAAAGCTTCCTAGAAATGAAATTTCTGGGTATATTGACTATATTTTCTTATTTTCTGTATTTTTTAAAGGTATTTTATTTTTAAGTAATCTCTGCACCCCATGTGGGGCTCGAACTCACAACCCCAAGACCAAGTGTTGCATGCTCCACTGCCTGCGCCGGCCAGGCTTTCCTATTTTTTGTATTTTTGATGCTCTCGCATTTGAGGTTTTGATCCTGGATAGACTGTCCCTCCCAGGGTTAGCTATTTCCTACAGTTCACGGACAACTCCCCCGAGAGCATGCCTTTGATACAAACCAACCAATCCAGAGTCCACAGCCCCAGCTACCTCTCACACACCAAGCCAATGTTCCCCCTCCCCTAAATTATCCCAGGGCCAGGTGCTGGACAACTAGGAAGCATTCCTACAGCCCAGAGGCCACCAAAATCATTCCAACTATCCACTACTCTGTACCTACCCCACCTCACCCATTCCTTCCCGTGAAAATACCAATAAAGACAATGGGCCACGCTCTTCCCTCCTGTTCCCTTTCGCTTCCTGCTTCTAGGAATCTGTGAGTATAATGTTCTTCCTTCATGAACAATCATTTCTGTGTCTGTATGTCTTATCATACCTGATTAAAATAAATCCCAGGTATATTTCAATACTCTGGGCCAAAAAGTAAATATGTTCTTTTTATATGTATAAGGATTGCCAATTGCCCTCTACAGAAGTTGCACTCATTCCTTGCCTACACACAAGATATGAGATTATATATACTTGAAACTAATAGGATATTATATGTTAATCATACTTCAATTAAAAAAATGTGAGATTAGCAGCGCCTGGGTGGCTCAGTCGGTTAAGTGTCTGACTCTCGATTTCGGCTCAGGTCTTCATCTCAGGGTTGTGAGTTGAAGCCCTGCGTTGGGTTCCACACTGGGCGTGGAGCCTACTTAAAAAAAAAAAAAAAAAAAGCAAGAGATTATATTTCCCAACTCCTTTGCGAGTTTTTTTAATGAAACGTTTTGTCCACTTTCAACATGATAGCTGAAAACTGGGATGCGTATTTCCCTTATTATAAATTAGGCATCTTTCCATATAACCAAGAGCTAAGGGTTACAGAGAAAATTGGAGTCTTCCAATGATCTAAAACAATTCTGTCCTCTAACTACATATTGGAACCTGAACTTGGGACCCAAAGCTTAGGCACAGCAGAGGTCTCAGCAAACCTCTGATGCAAGCAAGCTCATAACACAAGTTAGTTTCAGAGTAAAGATTAGAATGCAGGTCTCCTGATACCTTGGCAAGAATTCAATCTCTGGGCTTTGGGAGTAGGGGGGTGAACAGGCAAGTGATATATTCATAGCTGAGTTTGGAAAACTAATAATGTGTTTGGGATGGCTGCATGTATTAATTGTGTTTTTAAGATTTTCTGTATTTCCTGATGCTTTGACATCTGTGCTATTTTCTAATCTGCTCTGAGTGGCATCATGACAAAACCAACCATCCAGAGGGCATTCCTTTTTCTAATTTGCAGAAAGGGCTGTACAGATTAGTGATGACCACTGTGGGGCGCCCTCTGGAGCCATACACCACAACAGCTTTGGGAAATGTCCCTGAATCCCAGCCCCCTCCCAGATCCCTTGACTTACCATTATGCCCTGGGAATTGCTTGGGCATAGTAGGTCTCAGGGCTAGAAGGCCGTACAAAGGGATCAGAGAGAAGACACAAGTTTAAGACAAATTTAGGAAAATAAATAACTTGGTATTAGACAAGGGGACCTAATAGCTAAGAAAGTAAATGCTGTTAATAAATTTATTACAATGCCTCATAGAAATAGGTGGCTTAATTGGCAATTTGTTCTGTTTGCATCCAGTGTTTCCTTTCATGAATATGGAGAGTTAAGAACATAATGCATTTGGCTTCTGGTCTGTTTTTGCAGTCACATGAGCTGGTTGAGGACCTGACAGATTTGAAGGGGTCTGTGCTGTCATCAGAGGTCAGAGAGCCAGGGTCAGGGAGGGCCCCACGGCAATATCCTTTCCTCCTACAGAAATGAGATGCTATTATATTGTGCAGATAGCATTTCCCTTGTACAGAATAGAGATTGTTTATAAGTATCACATATCTTCACGAGGAGTTACTGCCTGACTTCCCCAATTGTCAGGGTCAGTTTCTCTGTTTTGAGATAAACTTTGAGTTTTTGGACTCAAAATGCAAAGCATAGAAGACAGAGGATTATAAAGAACATTTTACACTTGCAAAGCATCTGTATCTGGATTCCTACGGTCTACCGCCAAAACATCCCCCAAATTACAATTAAAGTCATACAGACACATTCAAAAGATCCTGAGGCAAAGTTTCTCTGTGTGCTAAGTGAAATGAAAGAGAAGCACAGTAATCCTTAAAAAGAAAGCACAGCTTATGAAGAGAGAATAATATCAGACTAATTTCCAAGCAATGCTTATCTAATTATATTATTGTATGGAGCATGCCACTAACAAATACACAAGAAAAGACACATTCATAGAGTAAATAGGAGGACCCCAGACTATGGTTCTCACTTCACGCAATGAGTAATACAATGACTTGAGTCCTGAGAAAACACCTTCCTGCTTAGTGACATTTGTGGATGTTTGTGACTATCTGTAGCCTTTGAAAGAAAACTTGTAGCAGTGAAATGTAATTACCCCTTTTTATTTCCCCTGAAACAAGTTAAAACAATGGTTGAAGCTACCCATTAAGTCTCTTGCTAGTTCAACTGGTTGGAACTCACCTCCATAAGGCAAGCATAAAAGAAGTGGGCATTCCATTAAAAACAAAACTAGAAAGGTGAAAGAACTTTGAACCTTGTCCATCACTCCAAAACTGTTAGTCTTTTATCATATGGATGAAAGGATATATTTAGCTATAGTGTAGTATCTGCCCTATATTTATGAGGAACTAAGAAACTCTGCTCCCTATAGAATGTTTGGGTTCTGACTTGGAGCCACCAATGTGAGGTCAGCTGATGTTACCACATGGACTTCCTCTACGGAACCAAGTCAACCAATGGGGATACTAACGGGATGGGGCATGGGGAGAAGGAGGTTCATCTGTGGGTACAGATAATAAAACCAGAGCCCTGCCCTCAGGGAGTGTACAGACCAGTGAGGAGGCAGCAAAGATCAATTATAATTCAGTGGGACACCTAAGAGGCAAACAGAGAACACAGTAGGGCTCTGTAGTCAGAAGCACCCCACCCAAATGACCAGGTTACCTAAGTGAGAAGACTGGTCCCTGCCACAAGTTTTCCCCTTTGCCCTCCCCTGAATGTGACCTATCAACATTCAAACGTATCAATGACACCCTCTCTCACGTATTCTTGCGTACCCCATCCCGGCCCCCAATAAAAGTACTTTCCCATGGATACTCACCTTCTGCTCCCCACCTGCTTGGTTGAGCTGGCTCTCTAGGTGCCCACACTGAGCAGCTCCTCATGGGGTACAGTTGACTCCTGGTGTTTTAATTCTATGGGTTTTGACAAATGTATCACGCATGACATTTATCCAAACTTTTAGTATTATACAGCATAGCTGCACTCTAAAAATCCTTTGTACTCCACCTCTTCATCTCTCCCTTCACCCTCTCCCTGGCAATCACCAATCTTTTTACTGTTTCCATAATTTTGCCTTTTCCAAAATGTCATTTAGTTGGAATCATAGAGTATGAAGCTTTTTCAGATTGGCTTCTTTCCGTTAGTACTATGTATTTGAGGTTCTTCCATGTCTTTTCATGGCTTGATAGCCCATTTCTTTTTAAAAGCTATTATTTTGGATAAGTAGTTTGGATGTTCTTAAGTTTGCAGATTAATTTAGTGAAAACTCACATTTCTACATTACAGGGTCTACTCATGCAAGAAGCACTCGTATCTCTTAATCATTCACATTTTCATTTATGTCTCGTGAAAATGTATGTAAATTTATCGCCACAGGTTTCAGTTCTTTTCAATTTCCCCTGAACATTAAAACGTCCGTGTGTTTGCAAAACGGAACCCCCCCCCCCTTTATCTACCCCACCTGCGGCTGGCGTATAAGCCGCCTGTTGTTCCAATATTTGCAAACTGCCCCCAGGCTATAGTCCTCGCAGGGACTGGCGGGGCCCATCTGGGGGATTTGAGCGCGGCCACCAGCCACAGAACTGTCCCGCCGCCGTGATCACTCCTGCAGCCCTGGGAGCGAACGACCTGCAGAGGGAGCCGGGCGAGGCCACCAGCTGTAAGGGGACGAGGAACCCTCACGGCGCACTCCGCCGGAGCTGGTGGACGCGCCCCGGGAGGCCGCGCGGCCCCGCCGTGTCTCCTAGGTGCCCGAATAACACG